AAATTATTTTTTTTTCTCAAATTTCGCCCGTATTGTATGATTTTAATATTATTGTTATTCAAAATTTAGATAGATCATCATTTTCAATCATTAAATATGAACAACAACAATTGAATTTTCATGATTTCACAAAAGATGATTGTTATATTTGCATTTGCTTTTTTTTGATATGGATATGAATATTGAATTCATCTGAAAATGATTCAACAACAACAAAAAAAATCTTTTTTTGAATGTTCAAATTAATTTCAATAAACATGAAATTTCATAGATCAGTTTTAGTTGACCAAATTTTTCCATTCTTCAAGCAACTACGCCTCAATTATACATACAAATACACACACACAATTGAACCAACTCCCTTTATTTCTATTACATGATCACGAATGTTTTTCACACACACACACGGCGATCATCATCATCTTATCATATTATTCCTTATTGTTTCTGGAACACGCAGCAAGCTTGTCTTTCTATATTGTCATGTAAAAGAAATGTAAAATTCCAATTGTTCAAGTTCAATGTCTTTGTAAATATTTAATATCATTTTGATTCATGAATAAAAGTAGTGATGATGATGATGATATTATGATTTTGATTTATAATCTTCAACGTAGATTTCATTCATTTGCTCAAGTCACTATATTGGAGAAAAAAAAACATTAGCGACAATAATAATGATGAAAAAAACACGGGTGTGTCATTTACCCATCCAAAAAACAAAACAAAACAAAAAAATTTTGTTTTCCATTTCATTGTGCAATGATCTATCAAATGGTTACTCATCCGGAATCATCATCATCATTATTATGAACAAATTCAATATATGACGTTAACCATCTGCGTGTCCATAAGCAATTCATAAGTATTTTCATCATTTCATTGCAATTGTAATGATTACGAAAGAAAGAATGAAAAAAATTACTCGACCAAATAACTGATGTTATTATCAAGAGTAAGGCGTAAATGATTTTTTTTCTCCTGTTTGGTTGGGTATCTGTGTTTAGGAATTTGAAGAATAAACATTTAACATTCAAAACAATAACAATCGAATCAATTTTTAGTTGGAAAACAAAAATTGTTTGTTTTCCTTTTTTCTCTTTTTCTACATTTCTTGATATCCAATTTACTTTTAGGTTTGGCTGTTAATTATAATCGAATTCTTTAATGTTCTTGATGTAAACACAAACAATATGTGCTATTGAACGTTTAACGGGTTTATTTAACTCTTTTGGTCATTATTGTTCTTGGTTGCTAAGACTAAACAAATAAATATTATCTTAAAAGTCAATCGATTTTTCCACTCAAAAGTATTACTCAATGTTAGATTGTTTATCGTAATCGATTCAAATGTTTATTTTTTCCGTTGTTAGTCGGTTCAATTGTAATCGATAATGTTTTCGTATATGGTTCAATGAATTTTATTATTATTAACATTGGTATAATTTTATCACATGAATCAGAAAATTTCCAAATAAAGGAAGTATATATAAAAAAGTTTTTGATTTGATTTGAAATCATATATAAAGAAATATCAATAGATTTAATCAGAATTAGGTAGAAAAGTAAACAGCTAATCTTCATCAAACTTAATTCTGGTTGATTATAATTAACCAAATATTATGGTAAGAGTTATCAACCGCCTAACACAGGATTCAAAAAAAAAAAAAAACGTTAGAACCATAATTCAAAGGGCGTAGACCAAAAAATAAATTTCGTTTCATTTTCTATCCATCTATAGGTTGAGCGGTTTGAAACAATGACAAAAATATGATTTATAACCATTTTCTATCATCATATTGGATTTTTGGCAAAAAAAAGAAAATCAAATAAAATAAATGCAAATCTACGATGATTGAACGGTATGAAAATTAAAATATTCAACTTCAACACTTCATTCTTCATAAGATGATGATGATGATGATGATAATCAAATGAATCAGATCAAACTTTCAACAAGACAAAAAAATATGAATGAATGATTGGATCGGAAACAGCCGAAGAATATTGAATATCATCATTTAATATTCATCACACACACACATGTATGGTAAAATCAAAGGTTTCAAACGATAAACGATTCATCAACAACAATGATTAAAAAACACAGAATGATTTTCAGTGGTTTTGTTAGGATTTTGTTGGTGGTCAATCAATCAATTTTTCTTTCCAATAATAATCAGAAAAAAAAATATGAAAATTAAACATCTAATCAGTTAAGAAAAAAATGAATGATCAAACAATGGCAAACAATGAAAAAAAATAGGAAAATGTCTAAATGAAAATGAAAATGGCCTGTCATTGTTTTTTTTCGGTTGCCGTATGATGAGAAAAATGAATGGGAACAACAACAACAACGAAAAAAAACAATAATAATTTCTTAACTCTACTGACCGATAAAATGGAAAATTTTGAATTTTTCCACTCGTTTGCCCAAAGCATCATCGTTCATTCATTTATTCAAAATAACTAAACATCAAAGTTCATTTATTTAGTTGATTGATTGAAAATACCACAGAGGATTCTCAGGAGTGAATTGAATACAATGAATGAATATTTGCCTAAATCAATGAAAACAAAAAAACAATTAGTTACACCTAAAATTGATATCAGTAAAGAATGAAAATAAAAATCCTCAACCAAATTTACGAATAGAAAGAGTAAGAGAGAAAAGAAGATTGACCAGGAAAAAATATTACGAAATTTCATCTTTGTGAAAAAAGAAACAAAAATTTCGGTTTATCATATAATGACCGCATTTTTTTTCTAACGAAGCTTATATATCATCATTATAACGGTTAGGAATTTCTACATCAAAAATTTTGTATCATCATTTATATTGATCATCACTATAATTAATCCTACTTACGAGAAAAAAAATATTGGAATGTCGTATCTATAGTTTTTTTTTTGGAATTTTTGTTTTTAAAAATTGTGAACATCATTTTTCATCATTTCATTTTCTTTTGTTGCATTATTCCTTGGCTGAAAAAATTTATTTATAAAAATTATGATCATTTTTGTTTTTGTTTTTAAAATTTGTTTCGCTCTAATTTATTCGGCAAGAGTAAACGATTTTTTTCTAAATAAAGTTGACATTTGGAATCTAGTCGAAATTCATAAATTGTTGTGTAAAAGCAAACATTCAAATTAATCATCAAGATTACCTATATTAGATTTGATGGATCCAAAAAAAAAATCGGTAATTTTTGTTTTGTTCATTGTTTTTCCTTCAATTTTGAAATTTGGGCAAAAACACATTCAGATTGAATACTAATAGAATCAATCAACCTTTGCAAAACAAAAATTGACGACCACCAATTAAAGTTGCTACGAACAACAACAACAACAACAATAAAAAAAACATTTTTGGTTCTACAAAATTCAACAATGATAATTGATTTCGAAAAATTAAAAATGTCCTGTTTTATGTTTTCTATGTTAGTTTGTACCGTTTGAAAATGAATAAAATGAGTAAATTAAAAATAGAAACATTAAATTTTTTTTCCAATTGACCTTGTACGTAATTTGACAAAATTACTTTCGATCAAATCAAATCGAATTGAATCGATTTTGTTGTTGTTGTTGTTGATGTTGCTTATATACTTAGTAACAATTTATCAATGTAATTTAAAATAATGGAATCGTTTATTATTGGCGACAATTGTTCAAATTGTCAAGGTGTCAAACATTTTATTTAGTTCACAATCAATTCATTTTATTTTGAATGAATTTGAAATGTTCATTTCTAACTAACAATCAAACTACAATTAACATTCGATTAATTTGAAATCAAAATTGAAATGAAAATTGACAACATTATTTTAGTTTATTTCATCATCATTGATTAATGAAGTTTTCTTTCAACCGAAACAGAATCCTTCGAACAGCAGATAGTTTGCAAAAATTTTTTCTTTAAATTCTAATTTGAAATACTTACGAAAACATTAATGCCATCTAGAATCCTACAATAAAACTATTGTCGGAATTCAGTCAATTTTGTTTCTGGGAAATTTTTCAATTTGGATCGAAATTTTATTTACGAAGATCATTCTCATTAGTCTTAGAAAATCATGCGCTTATCAAAAAAAAGCACGTCGTGGTAAAACGTTTTGCCTTCATCATCGTATATAACTTTGATATGCATTTCAATGTAATTGCAATTACACTTTGTATTTATATGGCATAAATCTGTATCTGGATTTTTCCATCAATATTTTTTTTTCTCTGTTGCGTGCGCGTTTTTCACTGCATGAGGATATCATTTTTTTTCTTTTTATTTACTGCCTGTGATTTTGTATAGATAGATGATCAGCTATTTTTTTCGATTTAATAATTATTGAATTGATCATTCGATTTGAAGCAAAAACAAAAAATTTATCATCCAATTTCGGTGTCATAACGATCATTTTAATAATTCCGTAGAAAACAGGTATGTGTTTGAAATATGCCTTTTTTTTAAAAAAAAGGTCATGGGCCCATTCAATTTGTACCTAATGTAGATTATTTTTGATTTTTATTATCAAATTTTGATATTTATAGTAGTGATAATGAGATTGTTTCTACAACAATTTATTGATCTTCTACGTTAATGTGACGACTCAAATTTTTGGTCCATTTTATTTGTGGTTAGTGAATATGATGACAAAGAAGAAAAAAATGATATACTAAAACGAAGATACAAGTTTGCATCATCAGGTACTATTGGAAATCCATTTTTATTATTATACTTTTGAGTGCAAATATTTGATTTTTGCTCACATATTTTCATATAATAATGATTATTAATTTATATTTTTTTATTTCACCATTAGTAAATGAAAATTTCTAAATTGTTGTCTGTGTAATAACATTGAAAGGACGAATTTAAAAAAGAAACGACCAGAAATTATCAAATGAATTGCATTTTTCAATTGCCGGTAATTTTATATGATAAACAAATAGTTATCCTAACGGTTTCAACAACACAACCATTATTTATTCTATGTCCTTGTTCATCATCGAACTCAAAATGATAACATAATCATCACATTTACTGTCAATTTGTTTTGGCTAATTATGTAACAGTTTTTGCTTGGTTAAAATTTTTATGATTTTTTTTTGTTTTCGTTCCAATTTTGGTTTGTTTGTTTTGGAAAATCGAATTGTTTAAAAGGTTTGTACTCCGAATTTTTTCATCGAATTTCTTTTTTTCTAACTATATTGACATTTTTTGGGTAACAAATTAATCATTTAAGATGTTTGCGATTAATCGTGAAAAGTTTTGCAGCAAGCTTCCACCAAGTCGATATGAATTGGAAAATAAGCACAAGTGAGTGTATTTTGTTTATTATTTTTATTATTTACAATGATAATGATTGCTCTTTCATTAGATTGATATTGGATTTATCGAATAAATTGGATATACAACATCAACAAGTTAAAACATTGAAACAATTATATTCAAATACTTTGATTGAACAGCGAAAACAAATATCGGATGAAATTAGTTTCCTTTTTAGACATGCACCAATAGAATATGGTAGAATTTGTGAAGATATACTGTGGAAACGAAATTATTATGATTGTGTAAAATTTTTTAAAAAATATCGCCGTTATCATCAGCAGCAATCATCAACATCGGTAAATGATCCATTGAATAATGAATTGATAAGTTTGTTTCGATCGCATCTGATTTCGGGTATTGGCCACTACCATAGCCTTATAGTATCATTTCGTAAAGGCTTTCATTTGACGTATTTGGATCAATCTATATTCTTGCCAATTACTAGTGACCAATTGCGAAATTATTCGTTAATTGATTCACCATTTAAAGTGTCTGGAAAATCGGCAATCATACAGAAACCGAAACAACGATTAATATTTGCAAATGATGATGAAAATGATCAGATAATCAAAAGAAACAATTTTTATGATGATAGTGGTGATGAACATGATGATGATAATGAAGCTATTATTGCGTTCGATACTGAATATACCCAGGATGAAAAATTCAAAGATACCTTATTGTTTTTAGTTCATCGTTTTTTCATTTGTATAGGCGATCTTGCCCGTTACTATGTGGATTTCTTTCCATCCGCTGTTGATAGATCGATTGAGCGATTTAATGAACAATTTTTCAAAATCGCATCATTCTATTATCAATTAGCATCATCATTGCAACCCCAACTTGGTATGCCATATAATCAGCTTGGTACTTTATACGCCAATAGTTTTTATGGTTTGGATTCTATTTATTATTATTTTCGATGTCTGAATTCAAAGAAAAAATTTCTTGGCATCAAAGATAACCTGAAAAATACATTCATGTTTGTGCGAAAACATCAAGAAAATCATCAGTTGCAAAAATTCCTAGATGTTTCATCATTTAACAATGCAAATTTTTTTGGTTCATTAACAGAAGAGAATTTTCAAACTGATCAAGAGCTTGTTCGATCAACAATCAATCGTATGATAGATATTTTCTCACAGATATTCAATCATATTGATGAATTAGAGAATGAATCACAATCAATTCACGCATCAAAATTGCATAACAATATTCATGATGTATTGATCTTGTTTCGTAATGCCATAAATATCGTGCCATCTGAAACGAAATCATCACGCTTGAAACCAGATCGATTGACATCTTCGAACATTTTTCAAATGATTTCTATCGTAATGGTATTGATTGATCAGATAAAAATATTGCTGAAGAAGAACAATGTCGATGTAAATTTGGGTATGATTGAATTATCGACACTCAAATCCGATGATTTAAAAGGCAATATCGATATTCGTGGAAATTTTCTTCTTTACATTTCGTATCATTTTCTTTTCCAAATTGTCACCATGGTGATTCATCGTGAATCCGAAGTTCTTAAGAAAATGATGTATGCATCACAAAATTTGATGGATGACAATCCTAGAATTCTCCAACAAAAACATAAATTTGTTAACCGAAAAAAGAAGAATAAAAATCGATCTTTCAATTCTGGCGCATTACGAAAACATTATCAATCCGCTCATTCGTTTTCGTCCGATTGTGGTGATTGTCCCAATGATGAAACAATGGCTGAATTGAAGAATAGAGTCATTCAGACAATACAGGATATTTTGGATTCATCTGAAAATGAAGATGATAATGACGATGATGATGAACTTATTGTTTTAGATACAATTAACAGCGCCGAATATCAAATGCAACAGAGCAATGGAGATGTTGATTATCCACCGCATACGGATTCGAAAACATTTGATCAAATGCTGGCCTATATGTATGCCGAATCATCTACTCCAATCATTAAATTTTTCTGTGATTATCTACAATCAAACGGAGATTTCATTGAAATTTTGCAAAACATGTCCGTTCTAACTGAATATTTTGAACAATTTTTCAATTTTCTGAATTTGATCAGCGAATTTGATTTACGTTTGATCATCAACTTCAAATCATATTTAGAACAAGAATTTCAGACAAACGTTAAACAACTTGATAAGATACATAAGCTAATCGATTTGTTCAACTTTATTAATCAATATTCCAGTTATTCATTGAAAGATTTCAAACAATTATTGCCGTTGAGTAGCGAAATGGCATTCATGAATTTAACCGAAGAGTTGATTCATTTTTACAAATCGTTATTCGGGTGTAAAGATGATTGGGATCTAATGAACATGAAAAATGAATCAACAGTTGAAAAATCCTGTTATATATCAATAAAATCAATGATTATTTTAGGCATCAAGTTGGCCCTATTATCGTTAGACAATGACAATTTTAAATTAGCCGTCACTAATTATGATCTAATGACTCTACATGATTTGAAACAGAATAAGCATGTTCGATTCAATTTCCAATTAGTACGTCCATTGGATTCATCATCGATTCTGAAAGATGATCGTTATTCATTGATTGTATCAAAAGCCGCGAATAAATGTGAGCAATTGATTCAATTTGATTCGAATGATAAAGAAGTTGAAAATGTTTGCAAAAATGATGAAAATAATATCACTCCAAAGAACAAGTTGCAAATGAATCATAATCCAAAAACTCAACAAAATGATGTCCAAAAGAAAATTTCTGTAATGAATCATCAACAGGTATCATCATCATCAAAATCATTATTTGATCTGGAAAAATTACCCCATCTTTTGATTGATCCATTTGTCTATCTTGAAAATCTTGAACAAATCAAACAAATTGTTCAGCAAAAGAAAGCATTTGTAATAGTACCAAAATTGGGTGAGTACTTTTTTGTTATGAGATTTTCTTATTCCTAATTTAACCTTTTTTGCAGTAACTGACTTTCTCAATAATTTGAAAGATAAACAAATTCAATCAGCAATTGAAGCAAGTGATTTTCTTCACGAAGAATTTTTCCGTGGATCAAGAATGATTAGATTTATTCGTAATGAAGATCGGCTAGAATTAGAAATGTTAGTTTATCCTCGAAACAATGTTTGGCGCCGTACTATTGACGATGAAAGTGGAACGGATTCAGTTGATCGAAATGGAAACAAATTTCAAGATTTAGCTCTGTTTTATGAATTGCTCGAACATTGTCATCATTTATTGGTGAACAAAGTTTTGATCAATACACGTATTTCGACCATTGGAACTGGATCAAAAGAAGATGATGAACAAAATTCTCAACTGACATTGATAACAACTGAAACAAATCTTGCCAAATGGCCATCGAACGCTTTAACATCCATTGCGCAAACTTGTTGCATTGATATTGAAACAATGGATTCGTATCTGGCCAAGCAAAAAAATAATAATAATAATAAAAAGTATAAGTTCAACAGAAAATATAATCGACATCCAATCGCAAATACAACAGCTTCATCATCTAATCCTTTCAGCAACGGTCGTTCTCCTCAGAAATCTTCGGCCACTCATTTTCGACCAATACAATTTATGGCCAATTCGGGAACAACTTTACATCGACAAGTGACATGATTGATTATTTGAATGATTGGTTATCACAATCCGGGTTGTATTTTTTAAGTGGCAAACATATCAATTAAAGTTCTGGAGTTTTCTTATTGTGTGCTAATTCTTGTTTGTCGCTACGCTTGTAAACAAGGATCAAATTTTAATGGACGGAAAAAAAAGAAAAAACCAGATTATTTGAATTGGTGATTAAAAAGATAATCACGAATCAAGTTTGATCCAGATAACACTAAACCGTATGCAACACAACAAGAAATTTTCACTAAATGATTTACCACATGCCATCGATATAAGATTTATTCGTAAATGTTTCGAAAATAATGAATAAAATCCTATAATCATCATTGTCATTGTCATGTAAAATCATTATTGTCGTCAATGCGTCAGATGTCATAAATGCGAATGGCCGAGTTTTTCTTTTTGCAAAAAAAAACTTTGTTTAAAATCTTTATTTTTAAAAAATATATTCTCAACACCTGCGTCGCCTGATTATTATGTCAACTTTTATTTCTATTATTGTTTGCTGACATTTTAAACAATCAAATATACACATGCATTCATGCATAATTATCCAACATTCATAATACAAATTCTGCTCCAACAGGTTAGTAAAAATGTTAATGATGTGTACAATTCATTCATCCATGGTTTGATTTTGTTTTTTTTCTAAATTTTTTCTCAACAGCGCTTGATGGTTAGTAACTGTAAACAAGAACAAAAACACGGGATACGATAAAGTTTGGACAATTACTGAATGGCTGAACTTCAAAAAAATGTGTGAAAAATCTTGTCACATGAACAAGAAGAATTTCAAAAACGTAAAAGTTGGAAATTTCGCTGCAATAAATATCTCCCAGAAAATTCATTTTGTTTTTTTTCTTTTGTTTTTTGTTCAATTTTGAGAAGATTTAATCAAGAAAAACGTTCGATTAGTTTAATTTCATTATTATCATTTTTTTTTGTTTCAATAAACAATAACAACAACAACTTTTTTCATCTTTTAACAATTTTTATATCTGGCAATCGATTATTGCTAATAGCAGATCACAATGAACAATTGCCATATATTTCAGCAAAATTCTTTGTAGTAGTTTACTCACACACACAAACATTTACACATTTTTTCATAGAATAAATAAAAATAAATTATAGAATCCAATTATAAATGTGAATTGATTTAATCAAATGAATGAAGATTTCAAGAAAAAATTTCAAACGGAAAGTGTTTTTAATTTAAACGCTGGATGGCGCGCTTTGATTTGAATATCATCATTTTTGTCGAATTTTTTTTTATTCAATTCAAAATTATGCTTGATTTATTAATGGATAGAAGAATATTGAAATTCATCATGTTCATTATGATTAGAAAGAATAATAAATAGAAATGAACACTAAGCACATCTGAATTTTCTACAGTAAATGAACAAACAGCAAAAACAATCGGAAACACTAATGACTTGTTTTTCATTCATTTCATTTTGTTTCACCTCTCTCACTATTTTATAAAGAAAACATTGCAATGTTAATGATATCAACAACAAAAATAATTATTTTCAAACCAAAAAAACGTTTGAAACAAAACCAAACTTTACCGAACCGTATAGTATTCATTCAAACACGCCCATTTTTATTCTAATCGTATATTATGGTCATAGTCATCATGGGGAAATAATAATCAAAAATTATATGTCAACCGTAATGAATTAATTATAAATTATAAATGAAACGGTTTTCATCATTTTGTTCTGGTTTTTTTTGTTGTTGTTGTTGATTCTCTTCTCTTCATTTTGATTTTACTTTTTTTGTTGTTGTTGTTGTTTTTCATAAATTTTGTCTGTTTCCATATTCTCAATTTATATATGGTCGACAAAAAAAATTTGGTGGTTTTTTTCACCAATGATCAAATCATGGTTTATTATTTCCAGGTTCTTTTTTTATTTTAATTATTGCCTACACATGGACTGAACACAGACACATATGGCCGATATGGATCATTACTATCTGGTATTTGGTTATGTTTTTTTGGCCGACCGTTTCAGACAATTGTGTGTATGGTGTGTAAAATATTCAAATGTCATCACTTGAATATGGTTTTTTTAATTCACTGAATTTACTCTACGACAAAACACATTGATTAATGTTAAATGATGATGATTCGTTCCATTTCACTTTGATTAATATGTATTCAACCATTATAGTTGAAATTTTTATTTCGTTTCAGTTTGGCTAAAAGGTATTTTAAATTGATTCGATCCGATTTCATTCATCCATTCATTCATTTTGTTTCACTTTTTGAATTATATTCATATAAAAAAGCATAGGATCTAAAGTTTCAATTTCAATTAATGAATTTTATTTCTGGTTGATATTTTTTTCATGATGATGGTGTAGAATTGAATATGAGTGGGTGATTATAATGGTGAGCATAAATATGATCAATATATTTTCCATTTTTATAGACTTTTGCCTTCTTCTTTTCTTTCACTTAAAATTTTAATTTCGATAAATTGACATTTTTTCAAGATCAATGAATGAAAATTTTTGTTATGAATTTATCGATATGATTGTAATTATTGGTACTTTCACTAATAATCATCATCAATGATTTATAGTCACGCTAAACATTGGATACGATCGAATGTTTTTGGATCAACTTTTTCTTCTTATTCATTATTCCAATAAAATAAAATAAAATGAAATTATGAACTACATATCGATTGATAATTTTATCGATTTAAGGTAAATTTTATTGTGAATTTAAAAAATTTAAATCATCATCATCAACAAAGTCATGATTATATTTAAGTTTTGACATTTAAGAAAAATAATCAAATCGATTTTCTTGGTCGTTTTTTTCATTTTATTCCGACAACCACAACAACAACATTAACGAAGACAAGAAAAACATTATACATTTGTTGAATAAAAAAGTTTCAAAAAAAGACCACAATAATGATGATATGATAATAAAGTTTAAATCGATATACCAAATTTAACAATTAAACTATAATTATTATTACTATCATTATCATCATTGGTAATTATTTATAATTCAAATGACAATGATGATTATGTTAGCGATAATGGCGATTGTAGCGACTCATCTACATCATTATCATTATTAAGTAATGCAAATAAGAAATCAGGAAAAAAACTGCCAAACGATTACAATTTAATAATGAATTTTTTCTATGGAAGTAAATGAATCTTTACCTGGAAAAAGAAGCAGTAACTTACTACTACCATATGATTTGAATCGATCGATTCTTTACTTTATCTTATTTTTGTGGTTCTAGTTGAACGGAAACAACGAAGACAAAGATCACACCACCATGGCAAAGAAAAACAATTATTTATTGTGGAAAAAAATGACTGAACAATATTCAATTCAGTCACAAATGATTGATCATGTATGATGATGAAATTTCGTTTATTTTTGATGTTATTCAGGAAAATCAAAAAAAAAAAAGAAATAAAATCTAATGAATTGAAAATCAATTGAATTCTTTCTAATGATTTTTATTTGATTATTAGTATGCTAAATTTTATTCATTTTAAATTTTGAAAAAATTTTCCAATTATGTTTCCATAATCAAAAACAAAACAAAACAAAAAAACATTTTTCTCTCTTCATTGTTCCATTTATTATTATGACATTAATCGTCAACAAAAGACAAGTATATACTTGTGAAAAATAACAAACAAAGATTGATCAAATAAAATCAAACAAACAAACAAATAAAACAATCATCTAAGTATGTTCAACACACGGCATTCTTTTTTATTCTTCAAATGTGTAAAATGGTCGACAACAAATACGGTAGAAAAAAATTCAATGAACTTTTTGTTGTTGATCGATTGAAAGAAAAAATTCTCACATCAGCTTCATTAAAAAAAGCATACAGGTGATAGAGAAAATTTTTTTTCTTTTTTTTGGCGGCCAAAACACCAAAATGTTTGGTTCACATACCAATTGAGAAAAACATACAAAAGGAAATGATGAAGAAAACAAATATTGAAATATTTAGAAAAATGGTCTTTTCTTAAGAGCGAATAAGATGTTCATAATATTTATGAATAAATGAACTATGAAAATTTGTTTAACATCATCTTATTCTTTTTCCATTCTTTTATTCTTTCTAATTTTATTCCTAATCACTAATTATTTTTTTTTTTTTCATTTGTTTATTGTACCTAAAGGTGTCACCCACTAAATCATCGAGTGATGATTATCATTATTATCATTATCATCATGATGTAGCCATCTTTTCAAGGTCTAATGACCATGTCAATCATTTTTGTTTCTTTTCTTTTTTTTACGTCAACCATCAGACACATACACTTTTAGAAATATTCATTGATAATTGTACTTATGTAAGAATACGATTAAGAACAAAATTGTCAACAACTACATCAACAACGATGATGATGATAATAACCTTTTTGAAAAATAATAGGGGCTTATTCATCATTATCATCAACAATTTATTAAAAATCAAAATAATTATCATAAGCATATATCATCATCATCATCATCATCATCCGTGACAGGTTGAACAATTTTATTTTCGCTCGATTGATTTGCCTGTATCATGAATGGATGATGATAATTTTTAACACATTATAATGAATATCCATTTTGGAAAAAAGAGAATCTTGGTGATCATCGTCATCATGATGAACATAATGTTTTGAGGAAAAGATTTTTTTCCTGTTTTGTTGTTTTGTTTTTTGTTTTTTTTTGTTACCTAACAAGACAATGAAAATCCAAACAAAGTATATAATACTAATACTCTTGTCTTTTCATTTGAATTTTTTTTTTTGTTTCTGTTTTTTTTCGTTTGAACTATAGGAAAAGAATCCGTTTTTTCGTTGAAAAAAAACATACATTTAGACACAGACATCTGTGCACATTGAAATCATTGAAGTATTACCCTTTTTCAATTTAAATCATTAGTGGTTGACATTTAACGATGTTCATTTTGTTGTTGTTGTTTTTCATTCAACTGAAAGGATTTTTTCATCTGTAATCCTGTCATTTTTTTTTGTCATTTCAACATTCAACATCTCAGGCGACAAACAGCCAAGAATAACATCCGAAATTGAACACACACACACACAGACACCGATTATCATGAGCAATCATAGAATCATTGGCCTATGTAATTGTTTTCA